GGGCAAATGGGGCTGCAGGCACACTGGACTGGATCGGGTGGCAGTGTGGGATGGGGGCATTGGATGTGGGGGGACACCAACCCCTCTCATCACAGTGCTGCCTGCAGTTCCGCTGCTTCCATTCTGCAGGGGGGTTCTGACCTGTTTGGGTGTTTTTTATTTTTGGAAAAGTGCCCCCCCCCTCCCAAATTGTCCCCGAAATGCCTTTGTTCCTTCCCACGACGCCCTCATTGAGGCAGATTTATGGCTGCCTGCTCGCAGAACAACCTCAGGAAGCATCGCTGGGGTGAGAGACGGGGCAGAAAAGTGCCCATTTCTGGGCAATTTACCCCCAAACCTCACTGCCCCTGGGGTTACCTGCCCACCACCATCCTTTCCCATTCTGCTCCTGTTCTGCTTGGCCACGCCGGAGCGTTCAGCCCAGAGGTAACATGACCAGTGGAACAGATTGCAGGAATGTCACCAGCTGTGAACACACAGCTCCTCTTTCCCTCCCCGACCCCTTTTTGGAGGAGGCCGTGCTTTAAGAGCGGCGCATTTTTCTTCCCAGTTTCTCAAAAGCTTGAAGCCCTCCTTTCTTTCAGCTCAGCCCCTGAAGATGGTTCAAAGGGAGCTTTTGTGGCTCGGAGGCCCTTTGCCATCCCTGTGAATTCCCTATAGAGGCACAGAGCTCAGTCCCAGAGCCAGCAGTGGGGCTGGGCTGGGTGCTGTTTCCCTGCGCTTCCCAGCGCCCCAAGGTCAGCTTGGATAAACACAGGGGAGGAGTTTCCTCATTTCAGAAAGAGGGATTTCACTTTTCCCTGATAAAACGTAAGAGAAAAGCAACCGAAGTGAAAGCATTGCAGCTCTGCAGTGGGTCTGGCTGGTGCCATGGACTGGCATCGTGGCTGTGGCCTTATGGGCAGGGTGGGACTCAGGTGGGTCACTGGTGGTGTCACCTCTCCCATCTCTTGCAGCTGGGATCAAATGGGAGTTCAGGGCATAGCAAAGGGGCACCAACACCTGCTGAGTGCATCCCTGGGCAGCAGGGAGAACGCATGGCATGAAAGCCCCTCATCTTCTTGCACACCCATCTTCCCCCCACACCTCCCCTCAGCCCCCGTATTTACATGTTGATTTTTCCTCCTGGCCTCTGGGCTTGTTGCTTTTTCCCCTGGCTGCTTTCTGCAGAGAGGTGCTTAAAGGCAGCTCTGTTCTCCCCAAGGGAGCTCAATGCTTTTCCAGCATCCTCACCCAAAGCTTTCTCCCTCTCCTTGTTTACAGACTGGTTTCCTGCCCAGCGAAATGGGAATCGCCAGTCCGAGCACGCTTTCCCCCACCGGAGTGAAGGGGGGGTCTCAGTATTTTTCTTACCCCAACAATCCTCGCAGGAGAGGTGCTGAGAGCAGCATAGGTACGTCGCTGTGGGCACATTGCTTTGGTTGGGGTGGGTGACCACAGGGCGAGTCCCAGTGCTGCTGCTGCCATGGGCTCACCTGGGTGCACAGCTGGCATCAGCTCTTTTATTGGTCGTTTGGTTTAATATATCTCCCCCTCCAAAGGAAATATATATATATATATATATATGGGAATTTGGGCTCTCAGTCATTTGGAATTTCCTTTTTTCCAGTAAATGTCAGGTTGGGTTACAGATGCAGATGGCTTGAGGTTCTTCTATAAACACTTCAGGCCGCATCACACATCAGTGGTCGTGCCTGGAAAAACTGGGGCTGCTTTGGGATGGCTGTGGGGGCTGCTGGTCCCCAGTGGGGCTCTGGGAGCTGCAATGTGACAGCACTGGGGCTGCCCCCCCCCCCCCCAGAACCTCAGGCCCATCACCTGGAGCAGCAGTTGTGCATGTTGGCATCCACCTGGAAATGGGGCACTTTGCTGCTGGTAACAAAGGGTAAGGTTGGGTGCGAATCCCATTTTCGAATGACGAAGCCCAGTTCACCAGAATTTGTGTTTTTTGTCACAGTTCCACCCCACACCCCCACCAGAATCTCTCTGCTGTTATTTTGAGCTTTCCCCAACAAACGAAACCAGAAGTGACCTGGTGCTGTGTGTTCCTCCACCGAAGGCATCCACTTCGGTCCTGCCACGTTAAGATAGTGCTGCTCCATAGTGCTGCCAGCCTGGGGAATGAATTCCTTTTGCTTTGGTTCATCCTACGATGAATTTCCCCTGTCTCCTGCCCCTCAGTAGGGCTTTTCTTAACCATGAGCTGAAAAACATCTAGGATGCAACCAGCAATACAGTGAGGGATTACGTATGGGATGAAGGGCTGGGGGGCTCTTCCTCGTTCCCGTTACTGCCCCTCCTTTGGCCATGGGACATTTGGGGTCTGTGTGTTCTGCCCTTTGGTTTAGCTGGAGTTTGTTTGCCCTCCTGCTGACTCCCTTTCAAAGAATTCCATCCTTTCTCCTTCTCTCCCAAGCAGATGGACAGCCCAAAAAGGTTCGGAAGGTGCCTCCTGGACTCCCCTCCTCGGTGAGTGGTTGGGGCCCCCATCCCTGCACCCCAATCCCAGCACTGCCAACCCCCAACTCCAGCAAAGCATCAGTGCACAGAAAAGGGAAGGGTTTCTCCCACCCCCTCCCCACGTGGGAGATTGAGGGAAACTCTGCAGGCTGGGGGCACAAACACAGACAGAGGGGTTTTGCCATCAACACCCCACCCCCATCACTTTGAGGTTACATCACAGTGCCCCACTGCAACGGGATATTCAGCACGGTCAGATTTCAGTGCAGGAGGAAAGCAAAGCAGCCGTGAGGCACGCGGGCAGCTGGGGCTGCTCCAGGTGTGTGCACTGCCTGTGCTGCTTTATAGGAAAGCCAAGCAGGCTGCAGGAATCTGTTAGCCATGCTCCTATGGCTGTTGGAGGGGAATAAAGTGAACAATGGCTTTGTGGCTGGGAGTAATGGGATCTGCAGGAAAAGAGGCTGGGGAGGAGGGGATGCAGAGCATGGGAGCTGTCTGGCCACGCAGCCTTCCCAAAAGACCTGAGGGATGTGGCACTGCACCCTGTGCTGCCGGGGGGGAGCCTATAACTGCAGGATCCCAGCTGTAAGGAAAGAGACTCTGCTTTCATAGGGAAAAGCTTGCTGCAGAAAATCGTGGTGTGTGTGAAATTCAGAGCTCCCAAACCCCGGCTGCCATGTGGGGAAGGCGTTGCTTTGACAAATGGCCCTTTGTTGGCCTCAGATTTCAAAGGTGCTGGGGAGCTCCCTGTCACTCTGGTGCTGCTCAGGGGGCCCCGATGCCCCCAGGAGCCGCTGGGTGTTTGCTGGCCCCATGCACGTGTCAGCACCAACACCTGCACCCCAGCTATTCCAGCACCCCATAGGCAGTGGGGTTCTGCAGCAGAACACAGCAGCCCCGTGCTGGCAGAGCAGCACAGCTCAGCGCCACGCGTGCTCTGCATCCACCTTTACTCACCCCCACTTTTAATGGGTCCCCCCCACCCCCCTCCCTTCCCAGCAGTGACCTCTGCTTTGTGTTCTGCTGTTGAACTTCCACGCTGGGGGAGAGAAATCCACACCTAAGTGGTATGGGGAGGAGGGGGAGGGAGGTGGGGTGGGACAAACGGCAGCAGATCAAAGGCTCTTTGCGGCCCCGCTCCGTGTTATCGCTGGAGCCCATGCAAAACAAACAGGTTCCAAAGCCTCTCCTTCAAAATGAAGTGCTTGGATGTGCAGTTCCGAAGCTGCTTTGGAGATGTGGAGCGGGCACACGGTGCTCGTGGTCGTGATGGGGTTGGATGGAGTGAGGTGATGCAGTTCTGGGAGAGGTGGGACGCTGGGAATGGAGCTGGGCTGCATCCCAGTGTGGGGTCGGTGGCTCGGTGCTCATCCTCCGTGGGTTCAACTCTCTGTTTGCTCTCCGTCTGCTGCGGTCCCACCCGGCTTGGTGCATTTAAACCAGAAAAAAAACAGAGAGGAAAAGAGGGGAAAAAAAAAATAATACTAATAATAATAGCACGCAACCAAGAAGCACGCAGCTATAAATCCCTTCAGCTCCCAGCTCTGGGGCTCTGTGCACGGCCCCCGGCCGGCCCTCGCCGTGCTGGCAGTTCCAACTGGAGGAAATGACCTCACCTGGAGGTCCCCGAGGCCGACGCCGGGGTTTGGGGCCGGGGGGGAAGAAGGAGGGGGGGGGGGGGGTTGTGAAGGGGGGGGGTTTGGCACTGATTTACCGCTTCCTGCGGCGTTTGGCCGCCGTTCCCCCAACGCTGGGACAAGCAGTCGGGCTTTGGGGGATCCCACAACAACTTGTAGGGTTTGGGGAGCGACGGGGTCGGGGATGTGGAATCGGCAGCCAAAGCAAAACCTCTTTGCAGCCCCTTCTCTCTCTCTCGCTGTGTTTTCTTCCCCTCCTCGGCTCTCTGGATGCATTAAATGGATGCGGGGGCCCTGCTCAGCTCCCCCCATCCCCCCCCATCCCCCCTCCCCGCAGCCACGCAGCTGCCTCGCTCGCTGGCCGGGCGCCAAGCCCTGGCAGATGGCGCGGGGCCCATTAGACGTGCTTCATTCGATTCCCCCGTCCCAGCTCCCGCTATTTAATCAAATTAGAGGAAAAGTCAATTTGCCGGATTCTCAATTCTTCGCAGCCTTCCTCCTCCTCCTCCTCCTCCTCCGTTCACCCGCTCTCTCTCCAACCTCACGCTGCCCACCGGCCCCGCATGCACAGCATGGTGCAGAAAGCAAATTTGGGGGTTTAGGGGGGCTGGGGGGGTGTGTTGAGCTTGCAGGGCAGCTGCCTGCGCCCATCAGGTTTTCCCCTTCCCTCTATTTCTCTTTTTTCCCCCTCTTCTTGCCACAAATGTCGACCAGTTGCTTCCAGCTCTGATGTAGGGCAGAGTCCGTCCCCCCCTCTCCAAGGAGCCCCATGGCCAAGTGGGGGGCTGGTGGGGCTGATGACTGCAAAGGGGGGGGGGAGGGGGTCTGCTTCATCTTGGGGATGGAGATGGGTATGGGGGGAAACCACGTGGCACAGGGGAAGCAGGAGGAGAGAAGCAGCACTGAGAAGCAGGAACCGGGGGCACAAAGGGAAAAAGAAGCATTTCATTTGAACACCGGTGCAGTTCAGAGCTTTTTTCAATCCATCCCCACCTCCCCCATCCGAGAAAAAAAGAAGAAATTCTCAGCGTTGTGAGCAGTCAGGGGAATTGAGAGTGGTTTTCTCTGCCCTCACCGATGAGGGTTCTCAGCCAGGGGTCAGAGGGGGTGGGTTGGGTGCGGGGTGCGGGCACAGAGCACCCAAATCCAAGCACTGCTCTCCACGAGGAGCATTCCTGGAGCCCCTGCGCCCTCTGCTTTCGGGGGCATCGAAACCAACCAAAAAAATCAGATTGTGGTTTCGGAATGAACGGCCGGGGGGATGAAAATAGACTGCAGGAAAGGTTCTCACGTAATTTCGAGTGGCGTTTCGGTTTCTTTGCGTGTTGAATTCTTGCGTTCAGAAATCGGAACCGCTGCCATTTGGTGCCCTGGAAAGGCTTTCTGGGATGAGTTTGGGTCATTTTGGGAAAGCAGATCTTCTCTTTTGCATCACAGAGCTGAGCAGAGCTGCTGAAAGCTGGCTGAAAGCTGGCAGCGCCGTGTGCCATCCTGCACAAGGGGCCGTGCCCCCCCAACCTCTTATTTTCAGTAGTTTGCAGTTGACCCCGTGCATGAGCACATGGAATGGGGCTGAGGTGCTGCCGGAGGGGTTTGGGGTCCCCGTGGAGGCTGTGGTTTGGGGCTGTGCTGTTGCAGGTGTAGAGCAGTGTGATTGAAGTACTGCAGTGCAGCAGAGCTGCGCCTTGCAGGTTCGCCAGCAGACACAGCACAGGGTTGGGGTGCAGTGCTGAGGTCCCAAGGCCTGCTGTGTCCCCACCACCACCCTGACCCATCCCATGCCCTTGGGCGCGGGTTTGCATGCAGAAACGATGGGGTTTGTGGTTGCTCATAAAAAGCTATAACCGCAAAAACGGGAACTGGAGCAGAGCACCGAAACTGGGGCCAGCACAGCCTGCTGGGTGCCATTCCGGGAAGGCAGGGGCTGTTGGGCTCCTGCCCTGCATCCCCAGCCCTGGGCTGCTCCACTCAGTGCTGTCTCCATCGCTTTGTCCCCATCTGTCACCCATGCAGGGTGTGCTGAGCCCTGGGGTGACGCTCTGCTCCTCGCCCCTCTCTGCCTTGCAGGTGTATCCATCCAACTCAGGTGATGACTACAGCAGGGATCCGGCTGGATACACTCCCTCAAAACCTCCCAGCACTGTATACCCCGGAGCCTTCTATATGGCAGGTGAGCGGCTGAGACATGGATTGGCTAACGGGAGGGATTGCAATGCATTGGTTCAGGGCTGGAGCAGCCCTGTGCCCTGTAGGGTGCAGTGGGGATGGATGCTGTCCTTGCTCAGGCTATGGGATGCATACCAGCCCCCCTAACCCCACTCACAGCTTCTCCTTTCTTTCCAGACGGGCTTCACAACTCGCCAGACCTGTGGAGCTCCCCTGGTGCCATGAGCCAGTCCAGCTACGGGGCCATGCTGGGCAGTTCCTCCTCCCCTCTCCCACAGTCCGCCAGCTTCAACAGTTTACATCAGCACGAACGCATGGTAACGTCCCCAGCTGTCCCCCCCAGCGCCCCCTGTTGGGGTCGGGTCGGTGGTCGAAGCTCCAGGACCCACCTTAACCCTCTTCTTCCCTCCCTCCAGAACTACCAGCTGCATTCAGGAGAGGTGAATGGCGGGCTGCCCTCCGTGTCAGGCTTCTCCTCTGCCTCCACCCCATATGGCGTCTCCAGCCACACGCCGCCGATCAGTGGGACCGACACCATGATGGGTACGTGCCCCCCCCTCCCAGAGCACCCTACTGACACACAGGGACCAAGCTGGAAAACCAAAGCCCCACTATCAGGGCTGGAGGTGCCCATCTCTGCGTACCTGCACGCTGTTGATCCCTTTTGTGTCACAGGGGACATCTCACCCCTGCCTGGGTGACTGCGCAGCCCCCAGGGAGCAGGGAGGGGGTGGATGTGGGCTTTGCCAAGCAGCTGAGTGGGACTGGGAGGAGCCCGAGGTCTTGTGGAATCAGCACTTGGAGATGCTGTGATGCTGCAAAGCCATTCATCCAAATCCCAAACGCACCATTCAGATGCTGCATTAAACCCCTGGGTGCTTTAATCTCTGACCCTGCTGAGCCCGTTACAAAACGTGTTACTGAAATGAACTTGTGTTCCCTGGGAAATGAGCATCCTGACCTGGATTCCTGGGGGAAGATTTGCTCAGAGAAAGGGAAACACATCGAGAAGGATTTATACGAGGTGCCTTGTGCCAGCAGCTCTGTGGTGCCCTGCCAGTGATGTCCATGTCCTCTCTCAACAGGTAACAGAGGAACCACGGCTGGGAGCTCGGGAGACGCTCTTGGGAAGGCACTAGCTTCAGTAAGAGCTGCTGCACATCCCCGACTGTTCCCTGCCCCTGCAGACCTCCCTCTGCACCGAGGACCATCTAGGCAGTGGGAAGATGGACGCGTGAGAAGTTTGGGGGAACCTCTGCACCCTCAAACAAACACAGCTGCCACCCCGAGTCCTGGCGCTGTGCTAAAGCCCCTTGAAGCAGATGGGGAGCCTGAGGCAGCACAGGGTGTTACTGCAGTCCCGTGAGCAGACCCAGACCCACACAGCCCTCATGGTGGGACCAGTGGGTCCTGGTGCCCAGTCCCTAAGTGTGCTGCTGCAAACTGGAGGGCACTGTCCCATTGAGAACGGCATTCTCTGCTATGGGGCTGTCAGAGCTCAAGGCTGCCCCTGTCCCATTCAGCACAGGGACCTTTGCTTCTACCTGGTGCTTTGAGGGGGGCTCAGCACTGCACCCCATATTTTGGGGGGGGCTCCAGCTTCCCTCCAGCGTGGGATACCAAGAAGGGATAGTGCAGGGCAGAGGCACTGGGTGCTGGGGGTAGATGAGGGCTGGCAGTGGGGCAGGAGGGACACTCACCATTCTGTGCAGCAGAACTGGGGGAGTTCTAAATCAGAGCTGAGCACTGCTGACTGCGCCCTGCTTCTCTCCCTCTAGATTTATTCCCCAGATCACTCTAGCAATAACTTCTCATCAAACCCCTCCACACCGGTCGGCTCCCCGCAGGGCCTTGCAGGTAGGTGAAAGTCTTGTTCCTTGTCTAAAGAGGCCCAGAAGCTTTGCTGTAAGGCACTTCCCAGATCAGCTCCATGGAAACCCTCCTTAAAAACCCTACGCTTTGGGCAAATCTCACCAAATCCCATTTGTTTTTAAAAGCAGGGGAGCAAGCTAAAGCATCTCTGCCACCCCCAAGCTCCTGGGGGAGCCCCATCTCTGTTGCACCCCATCTCAGTGGGGCTCGGGACGTTTGTCCCTGGCTTTCCTTCCTAATGGAACGAACCCAGTATAAACTGGGAAGCAGCCAGAGCTGCTGCAAAACCATTTCAGTGCCTGATGAAAGCCCATACCCTCGGTGTGCGGGTGCAAAGCCACCAAACTGCTGCTCCATGCCTGTGTGGCTCCATGCAGTGTTATGGTGTCCCTATGCATGCCGTTGTGGCCCAGCTTCCAGCCCCACCTAGCGGCTGCTGTGCCCAATCCCAAGCTGTCCCTGTTCATTTCCAGGCACATCCCAGTGGTCTCGAGCGGGCGGACAGGGTGCCTTATCTCCCAGCTACGAAGGGAGCCTCCACACTTTAGTAAGTGCAACATCTCCTCACTCCTCTTCTCCTTTCGTTGTGTCCCTGGGGGTGGTGGGATCAGGACCTGAAGGGGGAGGGTTGGGTGACAGATTGGTGTGGGCTGGAAGGGACCTTCAGGAGTGATGTTGGCATGTGGTCAAGCAGATTTAGGCACTGGTTCCTGACCCCCATCCACACCGCCGGGTCCAGCCCAGTTGTGTCAGAGCAGAGCTGCTCCTGTGACACCTTGGTGGTGGCACTGCTGGGGTCAGGCTGCTCATCCCTATATCTGCCCTGCAGCCTAAGCACAACTGTATGGGGCTGCTGGCTTGGCAGAGATTAACAGATTTCTCTCTCCATCCCCTCTTTCCAGCAAAACAAAATGGAAGACAGGTTGGACGAAGCCATCCACGTGCTGAGGAATCACGCCGTGGGCCAGACGGCCGCCATGCCAAGCAACCACGGGGACATGCATGGGCTGCTGGGCTCTGCTCCCGCACACAGTGCTGCTGTGGGCAGCCTGGGCCAGGCCTTCCCTGCCTCTGTCATGTCCCTGGGGGGTCGACACCCCAGCCTGGTGAGTGATGGATGGGGAGCGCTGAGATGGGGTTTGCATCCCAGGTGCGTAGGGTCCTGCACTGGCTCCCCCCTGTCTAGAGCTTGGTGACCACAGGAGCGTGTTCTGAGCAGGTCTGGGTCCCTGCCAGATCATCGTTGCAGAACCAGATGTGCTTTGCTCCCCAGACTCTGGTACAGAGCAGTGTGCTCCGTGCTACAAACCATCTGCAGCAATGGAGGTGTTGGCTCTGTGCTGCCAAGCCCTGCCAGCGTAGTGCAGCCCCACGGGATGCAGCCTGCTCAATCCTCATCCCTTCAGTGTGGGGTCTGTGCTGCTGGGGTGCCCTTGCTCCAGTGGCATTGTGGGGGCTGCAGAAACGTTGGTGCCCTGTGGAGATGCGTGCAGCCAGGCAGAACGGCCTGTGCAGTATGCAAGCAGTGCATCCCAGCAGAGAGGCTTTTCCATGGGATGGCAGCACTGATGAGGGCTTTCCCCTTGGCTCTGCTGGTGGGCAGGGCAAGGAGCTGCAGCCCAGCACCCCGCAGCCCCCAGGGCAGGTTGGCTCCTCTCCTGCATGGGGGGCATGTGGCTCTGCGGGGAGACCTGTGCTGGCCCTGACACTTCCACCCCTCAAAGCTTGCTCTGCTCATTCTGCTGTAGGTGGGAGGAGGTCACCCTGAAGACGGGCTGTCCAGCACCCCCAGCATGCTCCACAACCATGTCACACTTCCATCACAGCCCAGCTCACTCCCTGACCTCAACAGGCAGCAGGACACGTACAGTGGTAAGGCAGCTCTGCACCTGGGCATGCATGAGTCCCTCTCGATGCCAGGGTTTGGGGTCACCCCACATCCAGCTCGGGGCTCCTCACAGAACCCAGTTCACGCACTGCACTTTTCCCAGAGGTCCTTAATGTGGCTTCTGGCTCATCATGCATGTTTCTGCCCCTCTGGCTGTGGGTACAGTGAGACCCCGGGCACTGCACTGCTTGGGGAAGGGTGGACTCTGGCTCTGGAAGTTGTGAGTGGTGAAATGGGAGTGAAGGGGGAGCAGCAGAATTGGAGACCCCCCCCCAGAAGGGTGAGATGGGGATATGATCCCGCATGAATGGAGACTCCCAGCCCCTTCCAACCTCTTGTGTTCCTTGGCAGGCTTGTCAGGGGGGCTGGGGCGAAGCAGCGTCTCCTCGGGAACCAACGAGATAAAGAGGGAAGAGAAGGAGGATGAGGAGAACACATCAGTGGCAGATAACTCTGAAGAGGAGAAGAAGGAGCTGAAACCCTCCCGGAATAGAACAAGGTGCTCTTTGAACAGGTCTCTCCCTTCACTTTGTAAAGCTCTGAAGGCATTTGGCTTGGGCTGCAGCCACAGTGACCCCCGGGCAACTGAGCTCAGCCTGGTGACGCTGGGACCTGTCCTTGTGGTGCAGACCCTCTGCCCCTGCCCAGCCTCAGAGGAGCACAGCCTGGGTCCCGTGGCATTGGAACCAGCCATGCCAGGCAGAGCTCCTGGCCACCTGCCCTGCTGTCCTTATGGCTGTGGGTTTTCCTCGTGCTCATAAAGCAGAGGTTTGGGATGTGCTCATTCAGGGCATTGCTCGTGGCCGTGCCCAGGCAGCAAGGTACTCAGCATTCCTGGGCGCAGAGAGAAGGCTCCATCCTCTCCCTGTGTCAGGCTGCTGTTCCATTTGCTTTGGGCTCCTGCATCCCCCATCACAGCCAACCAGACATGGCAGTGGGTCAGGTGGGAGCCTGGCAGCGTGCTGGCCTGTCCCCAGCCTCGCCATCAGCTTGGTCACCCTCCTTGCCAGCAAACACCTCCTACCCTCCACCCACCCTCTGACACCAGGGTCACCCCCCAGCACCTCCTCGGAACCAGCACACGCCTCCCAGCGACAGCTCATGCCTTAATCACAGAACCACACAATCATTCAGGTTGGAAAAACCCTCTCAGATCACCAAATCCAACCCCAACCCCTCCCCCAGGTGCCACGTCTCCACGGTTCTTGAGCTCCTCCGGGGACGGTGACCCCACCACCTCCCCCAGCAGCCGTGTCGATGCATCACCAATTGTGTTGTGCTTTCTTTATTTTGTTGTGTATACAAAAAAGAAAGGGAGGAAGAGGAAGAGCCTTAATGCTTCTCTCCGTGTCACTGCATGTCCCCGTGCCACGGCGGGGGGACATCTGGGTGCCTCCGTGTGTGTTTTCTTGTCTGTGAGTTGACCGGTGCTGAGAGTGCACGCGAGGAATGTCCCTGTCTCGTTCTTATTTTAAACCATTAGTCAAGATGAGGATGAGGAGGACGATCTTCTTCCCCCAGAGCAAAAAGCCGAGAGAGAAAGAGAAAGGAGGGTCGCCAATAATGCCCGTGAGCGCCTGCGGGTCCGGGACATCAACGAGGCCTTTAAAGAGCTCGGACGCATGTGCCAACTCCACCTAAACAGCGAAAAACCACAGACCAAACTGCTAATCCTCCACCAGGCCGTATCAGTCATACTGAACCTGGAGCAACAAGTTAGAGGTCAGTGAGGGTCCCGGAGTGGTGATATTTGACGTATCTGATCGGCACGGGGCTGTCTGTCTGTCTGTCTCTGTGACGTGTGCTGTGGTGCCTTGCGCTCTCTCTCCCCTGTGCCCTTGCATTCCCGAGGCTGTCGATGCCTTTTTTTTTTATTATTATTATTATTATTATTATTTTGTCCTTTTTTATTTTTCCTTTTTGGTTGTTTTGTTGGTTTTTTTTTTGTTCTGTTTTGGTTTGGTTTTTGTTTTGGTCTCATCCCTGCTGTTCTCTCTCTGTGCTCCCCACTGCATGCCGCTCCGCCGCGGGGCACCCGCAGCCCTGGGACAACTCAGCCAGCAGTAAAACCAAACCCACCTCCAACAAACAGCAAAATCCCACCTCCCCAAACTCATTCCTCCCTGCAGCACGGGGAGCTGCCTCCTCCTCCTCCTCCTTCCCCCAGCAAAGCACTGGGGACTGCAGAGCCGCATGGGGACGGCGGCACAGCCACATTCCCATCCACACCAGGAGCTCTGCGTGTGCACAGCAGAGCCCAGAGGATCCACAGGACTTTGCTGCTTTGTTCCACACCTGCAGTGCATGCAGTGCATGCTTCCACCTCCCGGGCAGGTTAACCCCTTTCTCTCTGCAGAGAATTGTTGTAACACATGAACCCGTGGTCTGTGCCTGGCTGTGCTCCTCTCTGCTGGCCTCTGCTGTCGCATTGATGTTGGAGTCCTTTGTGCCTCTCTTCAGTTTGCAATTTTTTATTTTTATTTTTATTTTTTTTGCTTTTCATAACATATATATTTTTTTCCTGTCTCTTTTTTAATTTCCCCCCCCCCCCCTTTTCTTTTTTTTTCCTTTTTTTTTTTTTTTTTTCCTTTTTTTTTTTTTTTTTTCCTTTTTTTTCCCTCATTTCGAGTTTTGATTTTTTATTTTATTTTATTTTATTTTGGTTCTGTTCTTTCCAATCTCCTACAGACAGTCCCCAGCCGTGACCTCTCGGTGGTCCCACTCTCTACCTTGTACTTGCTGCTTGCGGCCGGAGGCAGGAGCCGAGGGGTGGCGGGGGGTCAGACAGAGTTGGCACCGTGTTCACTTTGGTCTCCCACGCTTGTCCCTTTTTAAACCCTTCTTGGACACAGCTGGGGACACGCACCGAGCCCCACGTGCAGGTTGTAGCTCAGGCAGATAGAATGTCACTGCTCCACCGGTTCTGCTCTGGGACGGAGCAAAGCTGACCCCAAATCCCTCCGTGCTGTGGAGTCACCCTGCGTGCCCTCCACTTTGTGCTGTGGTTGGTGGCAGATGGGACAGGAAGGAGAAGGAGCGGGTCGAAGCGTTGCAAGGAGCCACGGTGACGCCAGGCTGTGTCATCGTGGTGCTGTGCATCCTTAGGGGACAGCACGTGGCCCTGTGGTGCTCCAGCAGCGCGAGAGGCAGACGGCTGCAGCCCATCTGTGGTGCATCTGAGCCACCAGCGTTAGCTGGGAGCAGTGGCAGCGTCATTGCTGGGGTGGCTGGGGGTGGCCTCGCTACTTTGGCCATCCCAGCTGCTGGAGAGGCAGTGGCTGTGCCAACCGAGCACCGTGACGGCGAGGAGAGGACAGGACAGGGACAGGGCTGGCGCCCAGGACCTCAGATAGGGGCGTTCCAGTGAGAATTTTTGCTCTGGGGGAGAAGGTCGTCTGTACAGCGCAGTGGGGGTCGCAGGGCTGCGGCGATGCCATGGGGTACGGTGCTGCCAGCCTGGTGCTGCTGTGGCAGGAGCTCTCCCAGGCTCCCATCCCTGCCTGGAAGAGAGAATTCCCCCTTTCAGAATGCTGGGGGGGGTTTGGGCTCTCTGGGACGAGCTGGGTTCAGTGCATTTGAAAGTGACCCAGGGTTGCTTGGCCCCCCGCACCGCTGCTGCCCAAACCTGTCAGAGGACTGGGGCACAAACCCTTTGTTGGGATACAGATGTACAAAGAGGGGTTTGGGCGTCATCTCGGGTGATAAACCCAATGTTTTGGGGCCGAGATGTGCCCAACATCCCCCACATTTCGCAGCTTTGACGTTGTGCACGGGGTGCAGCTGTTACCACTGCACCCCCCCCCCCACGCTGGCAGCACCTCCCATAGCCTGCAGAGGGGACAAACAACCCCCGCAGTCCGGACCCCCCCCAGCAGCACCCGCAGCAATTGGCTTTGAAAAACGAGGGCCGCTTGGGCCGCTTCCAGTGGACAGCAGGAGCACTACCAGCACGGCAACGTCTGCCCCCTCCCGGAGCACCCCCCTGACTAACCCTGTGGTGCTGTGAACCCAGCAGTACAGACGAGGCCTTATCACTGGAGGACAAAGATCTGAGGGACCGGGAGAGGAGAATGGCCAATAACGCCAGGGAGAGGGTGCGCGTGCGGGACATTAACGAGGCCTTTAAGGAGCTGGGACGCATGTGTCAGATGCACTTAAAAACGGACAAAGCACAGACCAAACTGATCATCCTCCAGCAAGCGGTGCAGGTCATTCTGGGCCTGGAGCAGCAAGTACGAGGTATGGAAACTGCCAGAGGTTCACCTCGGGGTCCCTCTCCCCATTCTGTGCGTGCGTGCGCACCTCTGCTGCCGCTCTGCTTCACGTGCGCTGACCTTTCCGAAGCCACCGCCTGGGTTTGGCTACTTGGAGCCTCTCTGTCCCTTTTTTGTGCTTATGGCAGTTTGGCACCCGGATCCCTTTGGAAAACTCAGCTTTTCGGCTTCGCTTTGCTTCGCTCCCAACGCAGCGCTGGGCCGGGTGCGGGGTTTTGCTGGAGCGCAGCCATGTCCCTGCAGAGCTGCAGGAGAGAGCAGCTCCCACCTCGCATGCCCTGTTCTGTCCCGTGCCTCTGCCCTCACTCCTGGGATGCTGTTGCCCAGACTCAGCTCGTTCCCTTCCCTCCCCTGCTGTTTTTTTTGGCACAGAGCGCAATCTGAACCCCAAAGCTGCCTGCTTGAAACGTCGGGAAGAGGAGAAAGTATCCGGAGTGGTGGGAGACCCCCAGATGACACTTTCAGCTTCGCATCCTGGTCTCGGAGACGCTCACAACCCCGTTGGACACATGTAAAGGTACCATTCCCTGCCCTGCCATCCCAGTCGGCTCCATCCCGCTCCTCTTTGCCATCCTCCCTTGGTGGCCGAGCCAAGTCTCCATCCAGACTCTGTGTATTTATCACAAAGGAGAGAAAAGAGGCAAAACCCAAGGAAGCAGCAAGCTTACAGCTTACATCTCAGCTGCCCATCAGCCCCGCTGGGCCCTCGGGGTGCTTCATCCCACTGCAGGCTGGGGACGCTGCTCCATTCCTGTTCTCATTGGTGCTTTTCTTGGTTTGATTTTCAGATCCTTTTGTTCCTCTGGACGCGGAGATCCACAGGATGCGAATCCTCGCTGCGATCTGCGACCTTCCCGACCCATAAACTTTAGTCCTGCTCATACTGACACACGTGGACGGATCCTGGCGTGACGTAAGGGGTGGAAAAACACTTTGAAACGCAAACAAACAAACAAACAAAATTGCCTTAAGTATAAAGCGCGGAACAGTCAATACATATCACTCAGTTAGGAGGGGGTGGCGTGTTCTCTTGGCTTGTTCACAAGCAGCCAGCAGCAAAATTGTGCCTAAGCTTCGTATTTCTCTCTTTTTTTTTCTTTTTTTTTTTCTTTTTTTAAACAAACAAACGAAAAAAAAAAGAAGGAAAAAAAAAAAAGAAAAAAAAGACCATTAGTGACGAGGTTTTTTTTACGTAGAACAAATTAGCGACGCCTTTTGGGCTCTGTGTTTTTTTTTTGTTCTGTTTTTTAGCTTCTTTTGCCTATGTTTTGTAAGCGACGAGGAAGGAATTTTTTTTGGGATTTGTTTTTTTTTGTTTGTTTGTTTGTTTTATTTGTTGTTTCGTTTTGGGTTTTTTCTTTTTTTTTTGTTTGTTTTTTTTTGTATAAAAAAATGTCTTGTACCCCCACGCTTTTCTGCTGCTGTTTCTATAGTTAACGTTGCATCTTTAGGATCAACCAGAATATTAAAATTGTATTAAGAGAGACTGGATATAAAGAGAGGAATTCTCACATTCGGCTCTGAAAGCCACTAAAAGCGAATGTAGCCACAGCAAGGAGGTGTCGGTCCTTGCCCGGCTTGTACCTTCCATGACAAAACAAACTCGTGCTGAATTCTCCATCTCTTTGCTTCGGCCACTTCTGATTTGGGAGAAGGAAATCAACCAGCGGCCTGCAGCAGCTCCTCCCAGGAGGAAAAATCCCCCATTGCGGGGCTGCGCCGTCTCCCCTTCGCTCCTGTTGGGTGCTGGCCCAGGAGCGCCGTGATGGGAGGACAGGAGCACGGAGTGTGGAAGGGAACAGAGGATGGCTGCGTTCCCAAGGTAAGCAGAGCTGCTGCAGATGAAAGCTGCCCACGCCTGCAAGCGGCCGCCTGGAGCCCGAGGCTCATCCAGAGGCAGCGCTGAACAAAGATGACCGAACAAAGCTGGAGGCATTGGGAAGATGCGGTGGCAGATGAAGCAGCAGCGTTGAGGATGCAGTGCCTGGTGCCGTGGGAGCGGATGGACGCACAGACACGGGCAGCTCAGCCCCCTGCCGTGGCTGCGGTGGGATCCCAGCCCAGAGTCGCAACCGTCGGGAAGCGGCAGCTCTGCATCCCGCTGCTGCATCTCCTGGAGGTCACACTGTGCCCATCCTGCCGTGGGGCAGCCAATATCATCTGCATAGGCAGGAAAGGAAGGCAGCAGTGGGCACCCACCCCACGCAGCGCTCCGGCAGCCAAGCTGTGCTGCTCTCCCTTCGCTCTGAGCCGCACCGGGTCACCCCAGATGTGCCCAGCAGGAGGAGAGCCCAAAGCAAGAAGGCTGCAGGAGGTGCTGAGCCCTTCTGAAGTTGGCAGTGGAAGATCATCCGCTGGGATTCTGGGTTGTTTTTTTTTGTTTCTTCCCTTTCCTTCACCAAAATCACTTCCAAAATGTTTTCTGCCCGCTTCTTTCCAGCTCGGTGGGCTGATGGTGTCAGTGCTCCAGGACGATGCCATCCCCCATTCCAGCAGCATCTGCAGTGCCCTGGAAGTGGGTCAGCTGCCTCCATGGGGCAGGACAGGCCATGCGGACAGCAAGCAGGGTCTGTCTGTGTCCTTTGTTCTCCCAGGAACTGGGAGAGCTGTATTGCTTCAGTACAGGGAGAGGGAAGGGCTGGGAGAGCTGTATTGCTTCAGTACAGGGAGAGGGAAGGGCTAGCAAGCAGCACTGGGTCCTGTGGCATTTCCTTGGTGTAACCTTGTGCTTTGTAGCTCCGCTTCGTGCTCTGGCAGAGGTTGCTGGAAGCACTCGGGATGTTGCTCATCTCCCCATGGCAGTAGCTCAGAATGGGGCTGGGTGCTGGAGCAGGATGGGATCATCTCTCCCTGCTGGGACTCTGCAAGGTGTAGGAGGCCATGTTGGATGCTTCTGGCTTTCCCTGCTCCCAGCATCACGTCTGTGGAGTGAGACCTGAGAGCAGGGCAGCCTCCTGCACCGCGCCGTGAGCTCGCTGGCTTACAGCACTCCTGCTCTGGGTTCTGCCTGTGGGACAGCCCTGCAGCAGAGCTGGGTCGTCCCCCCCCCCAGAGCACCCTGCAAAATCCCAGCCCTGCGAGCCCAAAACCATGCAGAAAGCTTTAGAAGTGCTTCCCTGACATGTTGATTTAGCAACAAGAATTTGAGAAGGTGGTCGCGTACAGATGGATTGAAAGAAAATCTCCAATTTTAAAAGGAAAAAAAAAATCTTACAAAAATCCATAAGCTGTCAGCAAAATTGAAGATTTCTTGTTAGCAAAAACTAGCCAACTTCTTGGCAGGGCACAGACAAAGGGCCCTCAAGCACAAACCGCGCTGTGCCAGAGCTTGGGGAGGTTTTGGTGCCTCTGTTGTGCACAGGGCAGCACGGTGGGGACGTGGCATTGCTGTGCCTCTGCTCGTGTCTCACCCTGCAGCGCTGAGCTGCAGGGCAGGAGCTGGGTCACAGCCTGTGCACCTCGGGGCTGGGAGCAGCAGATGCTCTGCTGGAGCTGGGGCAGTGCAGGATTGTGCTTTGCCGTCCCCATCGCTCGGGGGATGGGATCTGTCTGCTTGGCATTGGGAGTTTTTGTCCCCTCTGGATGAGAAATGCAGAGTTGCGATGTGGGACCTTCCCAGCTGTCATTTGGGCGAGCAGCCGGCGCAGTGAGACGGTTTCTTTGAGGTTATGCTTGAGCAGGAAGGGCAGAAGCAGGCTGGGATTTCCCCAGGAGTCTGCAATTTCAGGTTCAGTGCAGAAGCCTCTCTCAAAGGCGCTTTGTGTCTGAGGCATCTGAAGCCAGCAGAGCCCTCAACCCCCTCAGCTGAGGCCTTTGAGAGCCAGGAGGCTTCTGAATGCCCGTTCCCATTCCCTCTGTCCCTGAGTTTTGCCTTTATGGAGTGATGTCTCAGTGGAGCCTGCAGCCCTGCTGCGTGCTGTGCCAGCCCCTGGCCTGGGGCTTTAGAATAGAGCTGGGGATGGGGAGGAGAAGCAGCACTGGGCTGGGACAAGCAGAGAGCCCACACACAGCATGGCCAACCCACAGCAAGCCACGGCCGCTGGATTCCCCATTCCTGCTTAACACCAGCACTAGCAAGACCTGATCGCTGTACACAGGCTTGCACGAGGTCTTTGCCCTGTTAAATCCTATGCAACCCCCTCTCCTCTCCCTCAGGGCCCTGCAGGTCCCAGCCCAGCCCCTTCTCTCTGCTCTGTGCCCGCCGAGCCCCGGTGCTCTCAGGGCGCAGCTTCATTTCCAGCAGCTCCAAAAGCATTTCCAGACCTGTGCCCTGAGACCGCGGGTCAGATGAGCGGCGAGAAGCAGGAGCAGCTCCCAGCACTGACCTGGGGGGGACCCAGGCCTGTCCTGGGGCTCTTCATGCACGCTTCCCCCCTCCTGTGCCTTCTGCACGCTGCTCCACCAGCATCCTCCACCCTGCAGTGGTTGGGAACGGAGCTCTTGGGCTGCTCTGCCAGCACTCGGTTCGGCTGCTCTTCCTTTGGGCAGGAGCAGGGGGTCCAAGCCAGTATTTCTGTCCCTGGGTCCCGTGCCACCAGCCCTGCTCCAGCTCGGCACCCATTGCATTGGAAGGAGGGCAGAGAAAAGCCCTCTCAGCCCCTTACACCCGCAGCTGCGGTTGGGAAGCAGCGGGGCTTTATGCCCCAAACCCAGGCTGTGCTGAGGGTGCAGCAGAGCATCCCTGCAGCCGTGCTGCCTCCCCACGGCCCCAAATCACCCGAAAGCCACCAGCGTCCAAGCAAACAGCAGCAGGGGGACGTGGGGAGGCTCCCCACCAGCAGCTTTGGGTTGTGGGGTGAGAGGGGCACCAAGCTGGGGGGCGGGAGCGATTCGTTTTGCAAGGAGCTGGTTGGCAAAACGAAGCATCCCATGGTTTGCTCTTTCTATATATTTTTGTAGGACAGGGCGGGATGGGAGAGCAGATGGGAGATGGCTGCAGAAGTTATTTTTCACCCCATATAAAGTTTTAGGTTGGTTTCGGGGTGTGGTTTTTTTTTTTTTGGCCTTTAAATAAGAAAGAAGAAAGAATAATAATGAAATGGTCCTTGCTTTTGATGTCTATGCTGCCTACCTGTAAATCCAGATGTACTTAAGTGGCTGAAATCCTTGTTCTTAAATCAGATACACATTATAGTTTTGAACTATATATATAGTAAATATATATATATATATGCCTAACCCAGCAAAAATTAAAAAAAAAAATAAGAAAATAAAGTATTTGGGGGTGGGGAAATGCGTTGCTCTTTGAAATGAATCACAATTGGGGGATGAAATTGTGTTTCTGAGTGCCTCGAGATAAGAATTGTTTTCATTTTTTTAAATAATTTTATACAAGTGTCAAAACAGCTGGCTGGATTATTTGGAATTTTTAAATAATCCTAACTTTTTTAAAGTAGATTTTGAGAACTGTCCTGTATATAACAGTAATGTAGCAATAAATGTGACATTTTATAACAATATTCCTTTTTTTTTTTCTTTTCCCCATGTCTGTCTGTCAGATGTTGTGTACCTATGACTGCAAAGTTGTAATAAAGGTTTGACCTGGTACTAAAAGAACTGCAGAAGAGAAAAAGACGAGGCGACCCAGCAGGACTCAGCCACTGCCTGCCCTCTGTTCTGTGCTCTGGGCCAAGGGCTCAGCCCAAACCCATCACCACAAGTCCTGCTGTTGCCCCAAATCCACCCTTGGGCTTGCAGGGGGTTTCTTAGCCCTCTGCTGCTCCCTTGCTCATCAGCTCTGGGCAAACGCAGCCATTTCATTCAGTGTCTCCTCGTCCCGCCGCTGCTTCACCCCTTTGCCTCCATGTCCCCTCCCAGGGGCTGATCCAGTTTCCTTCCCCTCATAGAATCATAGAATCACCAAGGTTGGAAAAGACCTCAAAGCTCATCCAGTCCAACCGCTCACCTATTCCCAACAGCTCCCACTAAACCACGTCCCTCAACACAACATCCAGCCTTTCCTTGAACACCCCCAGGCTCGGTGACTCCACCACCTCCCTGGGCATCCATTCCAGTGCCTGACCACCCTTTCTGAACAGTAATACTTCCTCATGTCCAGCCTGAATCTCCCCTGCCGTAGCTTGAAGCCATTCCCTCTGCTCCTATCACTGATGACACGA